TATATATATATTTATATATATATATAAATATATATATATATATATATATATATATATATTTATATATATATATAAATATATATATATATATATATATATATATATATATATATATATATATATATATATATATATATATATATATATATATATATATATATATATATATATATATATATATATATTGAATTAAAGACATTCTCAAAAATAACTATATTTGTTTTTAGATGTCAATGAATGTTACTTTATATTTGTTTTCAGATATCAATGAATGCAATGAGTTGGCTGAACCTTGCAACTTGACTAACACTGATTGTGTGAATACTAATGGAAGTTTTAACTGTACTTGCAAGTCTGGGTGGATATTGAAAAACAACAGTTGTGCTGGTCAGTTGTTTCTAATGTTTTTTAAAATTTGTTTTCGACTTTAATATTTACAAATAGTTAATGAGAACACAGTATCAGGTAATTAAATTTCCATTATCATATCAATATCAACTGTTTATCAACTGTTGAAAATACAGCAAAATAAAAACAGAAAAGTTATATCAATATTTCCTTAAAATAATAATCATATATTACATACTTACAAGCAAAAGTGGACATGTAAAATTGGAGCTGGGTGTGTCAAATGAGTTAACTCTATCTGTTAGAATTTTCTTATAATAACTTTTTTATTCATTAAAGGAAATCTATAGAATAAACAAAGTAATCTACAATAAATTTTTCACAAAAAATAATCATATATGTAAAATTCTAAAATTGAGGGTTTTATAAATGACTTTAGTTAAGTCTTTTAATTTTTAGATAGTAGATATGAATTAAAGCAATGTAAAAATTATGAAAAGATTGTGCATTGTAGCAGTATCTAAGTAGCTTTAACAATATATTAGTAAAATGGTATGAAGATTTATAATGTTTCATTTTAATTATAGTAATAATTTTTAAGAAAATTAATAACATTTAAGAATTCTTAAATTAATTATAACTGCAGGAACTCTACCTAAAAACTTATTAAGGCTCACATAATAGTAAACACATTTTATGCAAACATTGTAATAAGTCCAACTCTTTTGCTTACTGCTTACAAAATATGTAACCATTAAAAAAACTACAAGTTAAAAGTCTTGTTTATATATATATATATATATATATATATATATATATATATATATATATATATATATATATATATATATATATATATTTTTATATATATATATGTATATATATATATATATATATATTATATTTATATATATATATATATATCTATATATATCTATATATATATATATATATATATATATATATATATATATATATATATATATATATATATATATATATATATATATATATATATATATAAACAAGACTTTTGTGTGATAGCCAACACAATGACACTGCAAATACCGCAAAATTCCCAATTGCTTTAAAATTCCTAAAATTCAACGACTTTTTTTTTTTTTAAGTTTATGTTATAGGATGTTTAATAAAGTTTCCCAGTATATTGTGGAACAATTACCAATAAATATTCCTAGTTTTGCAAAAATATGGAAAAAAATACTTTTCTGGCTAATACCCTGATATATATATATATATTTATATATTTATATATATATATATATATATATATATATATATATATATATATATATATATATATATATATATATATATATATATATATATATATATATATATATTTATATATATATATATATATATCTTTATATATATATATCTGTATGTAATTATGTATGTACAGGCTTGGACGGAAATGGCGTGCATCGAGGGCTATTGCTGACCACGCAAATGATTTTATTTCTTTATAACTCGAACACGATTACTTATATGTTTTGATGATTTAAACATTTCAAAAATATGTTGAAACTTAAAGGGACCACCAAGTCCCGAGACATGTGTTTATATTTAAGAGAATGTTAAAAATAAACGTCTGAGCAAATTTTTTTTGATTAAAAGTAATTATTAAATGTATACCAAGAAAAAGAAATCTTATTGTTTTAGTTGAAGCTTGTCTTCTCCATGTTAAGTAGTCCAATTTGTGAAAACAATTTGACTTCCCTTCTTATAATATTAAGTGGCAGAAATCAAGTCCTATGTAAATGTAAAATTACGCTATATAATACGTAAAGTTTGAAAATATTTGTTTTTTAGGGGGGAAATATTATTTGGTTTTTATTTGCCGATTGACCGGTCTAAAACGGCCACTAAAAGAGATAAAAAATCCATTGATGGGAGGATGGTAGGGTCTATACCCCCTCATTTGCGTGGGCCTTGAATATATTTTTTTTAATTTTATGGGTGCCCCAAGAAGTCCTTACGGTCTTATTACAAAGCACTGTGGAAAAGCATTTAATAGGAAGTTCATGCCTCCTTCCCAAGCGATGTCGCAATACTTGCCCCGATGTGGGGTTTTAACCACAGATCTAATGTTTCTGAGGCAAGTGCGCTACCACTGCGCCACAGATGCTGTATATACAGTACTTGTATATACAGTTGCATATATATACAGTGCTGTATATACAAGGCTTGTACATATATACAGTGCTGTATATACATATATACAGCACATATATACATATATACATTGCTGTATATACATGGCTTGTATACACAATGGCGTTGCATGGGAAATATTCAGAAGGAAAGGGGGATACAGCAATTTTTTTATGGTTCATGTTTATTTGAGCGTTTCTTCATTTTCTTATAAATATTTTATAGGTGGTCGCATTTAAAAGTTTTTTATTTTTAAATGATTGTGTATGATTGACACATCAAACTTGGTCGGGAAGTGGAAGCAATTGCATTGGAATACTGACTATGGAAGCAATATTTAGTTGCAAAAACTGGCCAGGTTTTTTAGTCATTTGGAGAACATTTAGGTTTATGTTCGTAAATATAGTTTTTGTTTTACGGACATACATGAAAATTTATTTAACTTGAATGTTCTTGCGGAACATAAACATTTTGCGGAAGAATAAAAAGAATATTTGCGAACACTAAATGACAACCAAATTTATGAACAAACTAATTCTAGTGGTTTAAAAAATACGTTGACTATGCAAAATAAAGTTCTAAAGTATTCTGTTGAAATGTTTTAGCAGTTGTATTATTTACAGTTTGTTGCGTTTTGAGATATCTAGCATATATTGTTTTAAGAATATATTATCAAATGAACTATATAACTTTAACATTATGGCTTATTCTTGGAGCCATATCTGCAAAGTCGTAAATCTTTTAAGCTATTATCATTTGTTCACAAAAATAAATGTTTTATAATGTATATTTTTTAAATTGTCAAAATTTTGAAAGTTAATTACAAATTAGAGAATTATTATTAGTACGTTCCTATTTTTTATATCTCTTCCTAGTGCTTGTTTTAATTAATTGTTCGTTAGATTTGTCGAAACAACTTGGATCAAAATGTAAAGAACACACTCGTGAATCATTAAAGATATTATATAACCTTATTTGGTGCCATAGGGATCCTTAGGTCCACTATCACTGTGGCCCATATAGCCATGGCTCTGATAGCTACAAAAAAACATAAAATATTTTTCAATGTGAAGTTGTTAGAAAATAAAATTACTAGCTATAGTTAGCTATTTTAGTAAAATTTACTATTAATATTTTTAAAGAATTTCTAGAATGTTTCCAATGATGTCATGTACTAAAAATCCTATGAATTAAATGCACTCCTATGAATTAAACGCACAATAAATTATCAATTCTTTATAATGCGCCTTGGAAAATCGCGTTTATTTTAAAGACTCCAAATACCGCAGAAAAAAGTTGTTTTAAAAAATAACTTAGTCTTTTTAAAATAGTATTTTTTAATAATTTTATGCTTTAATTGTAATTCCAACTCTTTTATTCATAAAAATAGGAAAAGATAAATAAATAAAATGCGCCTGCGATTTAAATTAAATTAACTGCCAACAAGCAATTTAATTTAATAGTCATATAATACTAATACAGAAAATATTTAGAGAAAAATGTTCAGAATATATTTTGTCTAAACTTTGCGTTAAAATTATTTGTTGTTTTTTGTTAAATTTTCATTAATTTTGTATAGGTAATGAGCTGAAAAGGTTATAAAACAGATGCTAAACTTCACCTTTAAAAAAATCCATATAAAAGCAAGTCCTAAGTTTATATTTTTTCAAAATAAATTTAATTACATGAAATATATTTAAATATGTCACAGAAATATATTAAAAATTTAAATCAATTTAAAACACAACATTTTTCTTAAAAAACAATTAGCGTTAAAGGTACTTTTCAAAATCATTTATAATAGCTGCCATTTAAATGCCCTTCAGCCTCAATAGCATAATTCTGAAACAGTTTCTTGCCATAAAAGATTGAAGAAAAAAATTGTTTAACTGAAAGTCTATAGTTGTAATACTGAGATAGTGTAATATAGCACGCTCATGTTTGTGAACTTATTGGTTACGCCAACCAGCATTTTTTTCATGGAAAAATAGAGGATAAGCTATTGGGTCTAAGTTGCCAGATAAACATGATATAGTTTTAAAATAATGACCTTTAGGTAAATAATAACTTCTCTGGAAACAGATGGAGCACAATCTTTACCTACAAATACAACTGCAACTTTATTAAGTGATTATAGCAACATCTATCTTGCCCTTCAAGTAAAAACAGTTTTACAACTGAGACTGAGCAACCTTCTATAGCTATTTACTTTAATTTATGTTAAATACTTAAATAAAATTCTAACTAAAAATAAAAATAAATAATAAATTTACTTAAAACAGTATCAGTTTGATTGTCTGATAAAATTTCATTATCATTAACCTTCTAATAACAAAAAAAAAAAATTATAGTGAATTTAAGTAACTAAAAAGCACTTCAGTTCTTTCCATTTGCTCTAAAATAAGGAAAACCTTGCTTAGCTAGTTGCTTAAAACTCTGTGCTATGATGAAAAAAATCTATTACAGTTTTACAGAATCACCACTAAAAGCAGTTAAAAAGAGCATATAGAATAACAATAAAAGAGAATCTTGGAAAGACTGTTAATGCCAATGAAACAAAGCTAAATGCGAAAATATTTATTTCTTGTTTTTTTATAAAATAAAAAACAGAAAACTAACAATTGAGATAAAAACATCAAAACGACAAAAATTGTTAAAGTACATTATATAAAAATAAAACAAACGTAATGATATTGGATTTAATCAATGAAAGAATCTTAAAAAAAAAAGTTTACCGTTCTTAAATCTACATAAGTAATCAACTTACTGAGTTTTACCTATATTTATCTATAATAACAAAAAATAGATCACTGAGTTACCAGAAGCAGCCAAATAAAACAACTAAATAAAAATAATATAAAAAAAAATAATATTAAATAAAAATGCTAATAAATTTAATTCTGATGATTATGTTTAAATAAACAAAAGTTTTAATAATTTCTAAGTTTAAGCTAAGGTTTTCATTAACATAAACACTGAAAAAGTTAGAATATATTTCTCTTTTTATTTGCATTATGTTTGTAAAAAGAACAGGTGTTTCAATAAGCTGTAATTTCTTTTTAGAAGTTGCATAAAAAAGTATTAATTTTGTATTATCAACATTAGCAACAACTTATTCATTTTATACAAGTCACCGATTTTTGTTAACTCAATGTTCATATTTTGAAACAATATTGCTGTATATTTATGAGATTAAAATATATTACTATTATCTGTAAACATAATCATCATTAAATTAGAGACTTTAGGGGGATCATTAATGTAAATAAGAAGGATAAGGGTTTCTGCTATTGAGCCCTGAGGGACTCCACAAGTTAAATCTAATAAGTTAGAAGATACAGTTTAATTACTATCAACAAACAGATTGCTTTAATAATTTTTGAATAGCATTAAAATGTTTCATTTGATTCCATATTACTAGTTATTTTTTAAATAGCATTTTGAAAACAGTTGTATCAAAGGCTTTTGGTGGACCATTGAAAACTCCCAGCATTTTAAAAGAAAGTTTTAACACCTCAAAGGATAAATCAAATGAATAAAAGTACATTGTTATTGGAAGAGCATAATCATTTATTTTGTTTGTCATGATCGGAATTTACTTTCTTAATTTATTGAGTTCTTAATTTATTGATTTCTTAATTTCTTGAGTTCTTAATTTCCTCAGCTTTTTGTTTGCTAATTGATACAACAGTGAATCACAAGATATTGCAGCAACTGTCGCAGTTTAAATTTGGGTAGTTTTGACAAAGCTAGAGAATAAATACCCAAATACTAGGAAGTAAGAGTTCTTCTATTCTTCAAATATTTTAGATATAAAATACTTTACTTTCCCATTCAGTTTTTTCATTTTTTTTTAATCTTCTGAATTGTAGTCATTTTCTAATAAGTATATTGAATATGATTTACACTTTAGAAATTCATCATTTTACAAAATTTAGTTTTAATCTTAATTAAAATGTTCTTTAATAATTGTGTTCTTTTAGTTATATAATTTATTTATATATTGGAAATTTTTGTTTACCTCTTCTTTTCCAGTTTTAAGAAAACTACTTTGTCAATCTTGATAAGTTTTGTCTATACAGTAAAAATATATGTGAAAAAAGTTGAGTATGGCTCAACCAGGGATGTGGCAAAAACCAGAAACTTTAAACCCATTAGGCAAGTAGTCAACCACTGCATTAACTTTTTTTTAGGTCTTTTTTTTTTTCAAATGTATTATTTTGCTTTCTACATCTTTTTCCTGCTTTTTCGATGTTTTTGACACAAAAAATTGATCAGCACTAAATTATTTAACAGCCTGATATAAAGAAATCTTATGGTGATTATATCTTTAAAAGCAATATAGAGAAGTACTGGGATGTTAAAAAATATGTATGTTCAACATATAGGAGGGGTTAGCAGACTAATGGCAATATAAAGTTTAATACATTTTGTTTAAAATTTATATAAAGCTTAAAGTGTGCTTATTTGCAAGTAAATATAGTAATTTATAAAAAATGCACACAAAAGTTTAGTTAAAATAATTTTCTTTAGTTTATTTTTTCCCATTGTTTAAAAGTTTATTTTTCCCATTGTCTAAAAATTATTTTTTTTTACCATTGTTTTGTAATTAAAAGTTATGAAAATTTATGTGAACATCAAATTATGTTGAGTTGTTCTTTTTTTAGATGTTAATGAATGTGATAGTTCAATTGATCTTTGCTACGCGACAAACACAGTTTGTGTCAACAGCATCGGAAGCTATTATTGTTATAAAGGTTATAAAAACTTTATATATTTTATTTTTTAAATCTATTTTTATAAGTTTAATTTTTGTTTAATCTTTTTTGCTTAGTATAATTTGCAGACAATACTGTATTATAAGAACATTTTTGTTTAGTCAATTTTACTTTTATCAAGTTTCTAGTTTTTTTTAAAGCACTGTATGAGATATTCATAAACAACTAAACCTTATTGGTTCTATAAGGAGCCAAAACAAACATAGGTATGGGATCTTCTCAGATATTCCTGTTAAACTTGTCCAAGGGCTATGAAATCCATATGGGTTACTTAACATGATACCTATAAAGATTCCAAAATAGATTTTCATTTTATTTTCTCTTATTGTTTTCATATACAGAGATTATTATTTTCCAGATATTTCTAAATATTCATTTTTTTAAAAAATATGTTGAAATATGTTTTCTCCTAACTTTGTCATCATATAATCAAACTGTAAAGAGATTTTTCATAAATTACATAACTTTATATTTAGTTAATATGTTGTATGTGGTACAAAAATAAAATTATAGTTTTACATGGCTACAACTAATTTTTTATTGTTTATGTGCACATATTTAAACATAAGTTATTATTAATTATTTTTACTATTTCATCTAAAAATCAACTTAAATTTGAATAAATTTTTTTTTATAAATTAAATTCATTTTTTAACCTTATTTAAATAAATATTGAAATAATATTTTATTTTTATTTTATCCATAAACATTCTTTACAGTTTTTTTCTGGATATTTCCGGTATTCTAGATAATTCTTTTAAATTTTATTTCTTCTAGAAATCCAAACATTTTTAAAAAAATACAAGTTGAAATATATTTTTTTGTAACTTTGTCATCAAATAATCAAAAAATTACAAAAGGATTGTTCATAAATGCATAATTTTGGAATTTACAGAACACACCCTATATTTAGTTAGTACTAATTTTTAATGTGTTTATTACACATAATTTGTAAACACACTTTTTTAAATTTATTATAATTTTTTACAGTTAATTAGTTGTATGCGCATACAAATAATTTTTTATTACTTTTATATTTTACAAATAATTTAAAAATTAAATTATTTATACAACATTCGTTTGTGCTTATTTAAACTTTATATAATACAATTAATACAATTAATTATATTGATTCTTTCACTTAAAAATTCTCTCTGCAGTGTCTGGTGTACTTCAGTGCAACTACAGCTATAAAGGCCTCATTAAGAAGCGCTATTCCCATTTTACCTCTATAATATAACTGAATCTGACTTCCATAATATGACTGAATATGACCTCTATAATATGACTGAAACCATTTAAAATCAAAGCATTATTGGCACATTTATGGTAACTTTATAGGTATGGTAGCATATCCAAATTATTCTTTTAAGCTCTAACCATTTTTATTCTCAAAATACTTATAAAAATGTGCAATATTCTCAGTGATTCAAGTTGTATTAAACTAAATACCGAAAAAATTTATTCCAGTGTATTCCAAATGTATATATATATATATATATATATATATATATATATATATATATATATATATATATATATATATTTATATACACATACACACATAAAGATATATTTTTGCCAATATTTATTAAATAGTAAATGTATTTTTTCCTAGTCCTGGCTGTCAATCCCTATAAAATCTTATACTTTTGCTGGTGCCAGGGCTGGGTTTGTAAAAAGTCTCATTTTCAGCTGGGGTTGGTATGGAAACCAACACATTCAATTTTTGCATCACTCAGTTGTTCAAAGTTTATTGAAAAAATCTCTAACTTTATAGGTGTTTCTCATACTCCTTTTCAATCTAAAATCCAGTGTGCTTACCTAAATTTTATTTTCTATGTGTATATAAATAATTAGCTGTGCCTACCTTAACTTTAGCAACGTTTTGTTGATCTGTGCAGGCACTAACATTTACAGCATGACACAGTTAGGCAATCTTTTGTAAAATGTTGTACTAGAGTATGACATTGTAGTCATACTCTAAGATAATAATTGAATTACACATGATTGAAATGTATGTAGAGCAAATAAGATTTATTCCTATTAATTGGTAGGGTGGGAAATCCCGAAAGCACACATACAACAGATAATTATTTAGTGTGTTTTTTTTTTTTATAAGTAATAGGTATCTCATATTAATAAGGTTTGATCTTTTTGGCCATGATATAGCTTTTATATTGTCTAGTTTTTAGTTTAATTTTTTTAATTTTGATAAAATAATTGTCTAAATTTTAACTTTGAATTTTGTTAAAACTTATATACAAATCTTTTTTGTTTATGTTTTTTAGCAATGATACCCTTTATGCTGAAAAAAAACTTTTTTATTTTCAGCATAAATGGTTTTATGGCTGAAAAGTTTAAAAAATAAAAAGTTTTTTTAATGAAATATGTTTAAATGTTATTCAAATGTTTTTTTGTAGGAGAGTGGAGCACATGGAGTGAATGTAGTGTAACATGTGGATCTGGTTACAAATACAGCATTTTAAATACACAGGGTAAATCTGAACAAGAAGCCAACCGGAGTCTACCATGCATGAACACAAAGTGTTCAGGTTTGTGTTATATAAATGATTTATGAAATAAAGTTTTTTTAAAACAGATTTTTAATATAATTCTTTAATAAAATAAACACTTTAGATAATTTTATATAAATTTTTTATATTATGTTTAAAAAAAAATTATTACTTTTAAGTTTAAATATTATTGTTTTAATTTTAAATAAAACAACTTGATATAGCGTTTATTAGTACTCTAATCAAATAAGTATAAGATTTTTTTTAAACAATCACATATTGTTTACTTGGTTAGAGTACTAATAAGCACTATAAAGTACTATTTTCAATATTATTTTTGTTTTGTTTGTTGTGTCTTGTTCCAATAGCTAATAATCCTTTAAATACATTTATGGAAGGCTCAAAAATTGCATTATTAAAAGTATTTTGCATTTGTAAGTGGTCCAAAATAAGTTCTGATCAGTCAAATTATTAGAAAGTTAATAAATCATAAAACAAACAAAGCAAACAATCAATATCAATTATGAATTAAACTACCAAACTAGATATAAAGCACCAGACAAGTTCTCCAAACTAAATATAAAATTACAGATCAAAACACCATACATTTCACTAGACCACTAAACTAGATATGAAACCCCAGAACATGAAAAATATTATATACTGCACCTTTTCAAAATATTAGAAAACATATAAGTTGTAATTAAAAAATTCTAATATGTAATTTATGTTTTAAACAATTTAAGTTATATTTTAAACAATTTATGTTTCTTAATTGCAACTTTTGTTTTCTCAGTTACATTTTATTACACCTTTCAGGTTCAAAAATACATTATATGTTTCTTATTTTTACTTAAATCAAGTAAAATTAAGAAACAATTTAAATCTTATGCTTCTTAATTGAAACTTAATTCTTAATAACAACCTAATTTTATCTTGAAAAATTGTAGACCAGAACACCATATGTTTTGTCATACCAGACTAGATGTTTAAGAGGAGATTGTCACTAATAAGTAACCAGGGTTAAAATTTAAGTGAGGCCAGAGCTGGGTTTGATAAAAAATAGTTAGAGCCGGGGCTGCATAAACATTTTTACATCCTAAAGTACATAACATGATATATATATATATGTATATATATATATATATATATATATATATATATATATATATATATATATATATATATATATATATATATATATATATATACATATATATATATATATATATATATACATATATATATATATATATAAATATAAATATATATATATATATATATATATATATATATATATATATATATATATATATATATATATATATATATATATATATGTATATGTGTATATATATATATATGCATATATATTTCTATAAAAACATCATCATGATTAAGACTATTATCGTTATTATCATTGTCATCATCATGATTTACCATTCCCTGAATATTTAAATACTCAAGAAAAAGAAAAAAAAAGAAGTTTAATATGTGTTCTATTTGAATAACTCTAGTCAAATTTATCAACTATATAATAACGCCGTTACAAGAAATTGAAGGTTTTTTTATCTATACCAATTGTGGACATTTTTTTTACTAATTTTTTTATTAACTGGTGGTATTTTAGAAACGGACAAATTCATTATAAAATTAAAAAAATATGGTTTTCAAACACGATAGCGTTAAGGCTTAATACACAGCAATTAGAAGTTTGTTAGATTCTTTTATCTCCACTTGGCTATTTAAAAGGGGTTTGTACAAATTAGCTAAATTTCCTGATCAACCATTATTCTTGTTAACCTCCTGCTATCATATTGAAGAGTTTCATATAGCAGTAGCCATAAATAAAACTGTTAAGCTGGAAAACAAAGTATTTATATCATAAAATCATAAAAGGTTAAAAAAATATTAAAATAAAGATAAAACTGCTTCACTATAAAATATCTTTTTGCAAAAACAAAATGTATAGGTTTCTAATTTAGACTATTGAGAAGGACAGAGATTATTGTGAACTTGTGGAAAAAAATTAGACCATTAGATGAAAATTAACAAATATGGATTGTTTCACATGCCTTAATTTTCATGAAATTCAAGTTGGATTTCTCTAAAATCAGGCAGGTTTCATTCTGAGTAATAAAATACTCAAAGAGATCAATAGAATGGCTGACTAAATTTCTCTCTCAAGGGCATTGTTGTTTTTGACCTTCGACTTTTCTGTTCTGCAATTTTTAAAGTAAAACTTAATTTTGTAAGTTTTGATATTTTAGTCTTAAAATATCAAAACTTAAAAAAACTATTATAATCTTTCAAAGTTGCAAACAACTCATGTTGATCTTTTTAAAATCTTTTTAACAACTCATCTAAACTCACAACAAAATCGTAAATCTATAAGGCATAGCTTAAGAAATTTATTTCTCAAAACAAGAAATATGTTTCTTGTTTTTAAAAATAAATTGCTGGGTTGGATATTTATTTCTTAAAACAAGAAGCGTATTTTTTGTTTTAAAAAAAATACTTCATAATAAAAAAATAAAATTTTGCTGTGCTTACAGTAAATTTTATTCAATATAACTTAAAGCATGTAATGATTTGGAGAAGCTTCAGAAGCTACTTCAAATAAAGAGTTCTTGTAAAAAACCATTAAAAAAGAAGAGTGGATTCAAGGAGCTAGCTATGGCGA